CTGTTCGTAGAAGACACCCAAAGGTCATGTGGGTCGCCGTCACCTTCCCTACCCGGAGAGCGCACGTATCATTCTGCGATACCTATTTTGATCATACTCACATTTCGCATAATTTTCAGAACATGCTAGGTTGCCCAGCAAGCTGGTGTCGGCTAACAACAGATGAGCCTCACCCGGCCTCCCAAAGTTCAAACCTGACTGACCTTTTAAATAAGCAAGATTCACATATGTATATATTATATATATCATACACATACACACACACACACACATATCATATATACACAGATGTGTGTGTGTTTGTATTAATATAATATATATATGTTATGTATGTGTGTGTATGTGTGTGTGTGTCTGTGTGTGTGTGTGTGTGTGTATATATATATATATATATATATATATATATATAGCTGGTGAATGCCATTTTCCCAAAAGGTTATGACTCTAACAGGTCATGCTTTTACCAAGAGGTTATGACATGATTTTTCAAAAGGTTGTGAATTCTAACAAGGTCATGCATTTCCAAAGATCATAAAATCTCCAAAAGGTTCTGGAGATTTCCATTTTCCAGAATGGGGTGTGTGTGGCTACCAATATGCTTCTGGTCCGAATTCAGGGTGCTTGAGATGACACTGAAATCCCTAAATGGCTTGGGATCTCAATAGAGAGTGCCGTCCCATATACAAACCTCCCCCCATACAAATCATTGGAGGTCACCATATTATACAAAACTGTGTTCTTAATAGTTCCTATGTAGTACAGGGCTGTCCTAAGGGCAAAGCTCCCAAAACATACAAACAGCAGAGCTACGTATATGTTTTTATCTTTTATCTTTTTTTCTAGGCGCTCTTACCGATCTGCTCTACGTTCAGCTCCCCATGAGAACTGCATTAAGCCACTGCAGGAGACTGAGATGTTTGCAGCTGAAAAGTGTCACCCAGATAGTGAAGAGATTATGCTTCCCTATTGGTGAGGAGCCTTGATAAGCAGAGTAGTGATTTGGCATGAGGGGAAGATAATTCTGCCTCCAGCACATTCAAGGATACCATCTCTTTCTGCCGGCCTGCCAGTGCCTTTTTTTAATGCAGTCTCCCTACCCGCCAGGACTGATGATAGATTAAGATCGTAAAAACCCCACTCCATATTTTATTTCACAGAGAAGATAATCAGGCATTAGAGGCATGGTCAAAGTTCTGTCAGAATCATAATTTTCCCTGACAGGCTGTGATCAGAATGGAACAGCACTTTAGGCTGGGAGATATGCTATGATAACAGACCTGAAGGAAAACATCCTTGGATTTCATTAACTGGCATGCTGATATATAGGCAAGAGAGAGCCGAGGCGGAAATGGGGAATTTGGTTGCTTCTCTTCTCAAACTCAACACACCCAACCCTTGTGACTTTTGATTGGAGTGGCAACCTAATATGAATAGGCCAATGCTCAGCTAATTTTTTTACTTGTCATTATAACAGAGCTGTCAATCAAATTTAAGTTCTGGCCAAATAAGATGTCACAGAGCACTATTTTTAAAAAGGGGGTGGGGTGGGGTTGGAGTTTTTTGGTATGTGTTATGGGGCATATAAACTGCGTTGGCACAGTGGGTTAAAGCACTGATATGCTGAACTTGCAGACTGAAAGGTTGCAGGTTCGAATCCGGGGAGCGGCATGAGCTCCCGCTGTTAGCCCCAGCTTCTGCCAACCTAGCATTTTGAAAACATGCAAATGTGAGTAGATCAATAGGTACTGCTCCGACAGGAAGATAAGAGCGCTCCATGCAGTCATGCCGGCCACATGACCTTGGAGGTGTCTATGGACAATGCTGGCTCGTCGGCTTAGAAATGGAGATGAGCACCAACCCCCAGAGTCAGACACGACTGGACTTAATGTCAAGGGAAAACCTATGGGGCAACAATAGTAGTGCCCATGGTGGTGAATGCAGGCTGCACATTCCTTATTCCTGTTCTAGACACAACCAATTACTGTATATACTCAAGTATAAGCCTAGTTTTTCAGCCCCCTTTTTAGGCTGAAAAATCTTCCTTTGCCTTATACTCGAGTCAATGTTATTTACTATTTTACTCTGTTATTAGTATTTTTATTGCATTTAGTATTTTACTCTATTTATTATTATTACATTTATTATTTTACTCTTTATTGTTATTATAACATTTATTATTTTACTCTCTTATTACTGGTATTACACTTCCATTATTTTACTCTATTATTATTTTTATTACATTTATTATTTTACTAACCTTTATTACTATTGGAAGGATATGTAAGAACATTTACATTGAAGAAGGTTAATCAGAGTTGGACAGCTTTATCTTAAATTACAATTTTATGTAAATATTTTTGAATATTTACTCTACTGATGCCTCAATCAACATAATTTTATTGGTATCTATTTCTATTTTGAAACTTACCAGTAGCTGCTGCATTTCTTGCCCTCAGCTTATACTCAAGTCAATACATTTTCCCAGTTTTTGTGGTGAAATTAGGTGCCTCGGCTTATATTCTGGTCGGCTTATACTCGAGTATATACCGGTATGTAAGCAAGCCAAAGCCTTGTACTTATCGTCCACCACATAATCTGCAAGCAAGCAACACACATGCACTCTGCCCCATTTCAGAAGCAATATATGCATAGCCCAAGTGGGGGCTACAAGTATGTAGAAAAACTTCTATAACAGCGTTTCTAAACCTGGTGATCGGGACCCCTGGGGGGTCACAAGGGGGTTCTAGAGGGGTTGCCAAAGACCATCAGAAAACATAGTATTTTCTGTTTGTCATGGGGTTTCTATGTGGGAAGTTTGGCCCAATTCTATCACTGGTGGGGTTCAGAATTGTCTTTGATTGTACATGAACTATAAAACCCAGCAACCTGAACTCCCAAATGTCAAGGTGTATTTTCCCCAAACTCCACCAGTGTTCACATTTGGGCCTACTGAGTATTCATGCCAAGTTTGGTCCAGATTCATCATTGTTTGAGTCCACAGTGCTCTCTGAATGTAGGTGAACTACAACTCCAAAACTCAAGGACAATGCCTACCAAAACCTTCCAAGTATTTTCTGTTGGTCATGGGAGTTCTGTGTGCCGAGTTTGTTTCAATTCCCTCACTGGTGAAGTTCAGAATGCTCTTTGATTGTAAGTTAACTATAAATCCCAGCAACTACAACTCTCAAATGACAAAATCAATCACTGGCAGCCAGTGGAGCTGATTTAACAAGGGAGTTGCATGCTCCCTGTACACCACTCCGGTGAGCAATCTGGCTGCTGCCCATTGGACCATTTGGATCTTCCGAACAGTCTTCAAAGGCAACCCCACCTTGTGCAACAGTAGAGCAGAACAAACAACTCTGCCCACAATGTCCTGCCTCATGCACAGAGGAAGAATTGTTTAAACCTACAGACAATGTGATTGATGTTGCCCATTTTTTGTCAAAAATTATTTAGCCACTTGCGTTCCCCCTATTTTTATCAGTTTTACACTTATTTATACAATGCTTTGGCATGAAATAAATAATTAAACCAATTTCAGAAATAAACACATAATGAACTAGAAACCTAATTCCAGCTAGCAAAATCCCTTGGTACAAACTTGCATCGTCTTCTGATTGATTTATTTTTCTGGTTGTTGTTGAAAGCCCCAAAGCATTTTGCCATCCTCGAAGGCAAGCCAGTTAAACAGGTTCTTCAGAGGGCAGAAAAGTCTAAGCGCGGGGTCAGTTTATTTGCAAAAGAATATGAAGTTTTCTTATTTAGCCACACCCATTAGTAATTCTACCAGTTAAGTACGTTTTGACAAAGCAGATTCTGAACCTGTCAGACTGGAGGGCAAAGACTATATTAGTTTTCTTTTATGGAACACACAAAGCAAAACTGGCCTTAGGTTCAAAGAAATTCATTCTACTCACATTATTAAAAACTCTGTGTAATGTTTCATACATGCACACCCTATGTTTGGAAAAGAGTTTGCATGTATGAATGTACAAATTTATTTATTTATTTACTTTACTTTACTTTACTTTACTTTACTTGTATACCGCAGTTTCTCAGCCTAACAGGCGACTCAACGCGGTTTACAACAAAGGTACAACAGTCAACAATATACAATTTAAAACCATAAAAGCATAATACACAATATTGACACAACAATAACAACCCAATGCATCTCATGACTAAAATCGTGATCCAGAGGTGGACGGTACACTAACAGAATCCCTAATCTGTCCCGGTCACCCACCCTCCGGTGGACGCATTCAAAATTTGTTGACTGCGGGATGGGGGCCCTGGTCGAGAATGGAATCTCTATAGACCACTGCAACCCGCCTCCCCGCCCTCCGGATCTTGGCTGGTGCTGCACAGAGAAACCTGGCGGGCAAAGCTGGGTCAAATTCACCTCCAGCTTCGTCCAGCCAGGTCTCCGTGATGCACGCCAGATCTGCCCGTTCATCCAGGATTAAATCCTGGATGAAAGCTGTTTTACCATTGACAGATCTGGCGTTCAACAGCACCACCTTCAATCCGGGGGGACCGCCATCCTGGTTACACCAATTTACCGTATCAGGAGACCGATTTGGAATTACTAATGTTGTTGCACGATCCCTAGGCCGAATTCGAGGTCTCCTTTTCCCGTATCTCCCCATCCTCACCACGACTTCTATGGGGGCTCCCCGGCCGACGGAACACCCTCCCTCCTCCAAATTCCAGGATTCCATAGGATGAAGCCATGGCAATTACAGTAATATCTTAGAATCACAACAGAATTATGTGAAACAGATGTGTTGATGATCACGTGCTGTGTGATTGCTCTGCCACAATAGGACTTTCAAGTCAACCCAAATGCAGTTTTACAGATGGAAGCTGTTTATATGTACATTTGCTTGTCATCCAGTAAATGAGTGTGGAAAAAGCAAGAGTTATATATGCATGTGTGACCCATGTGAGAATCGTATTACAATGTTAACACTGAAAGTCAAAAGACTTTTTCTTACCTGCAGAGTTCTGTTCCAACATTCACAAGCTCCTGGCTGGAAAGGTGAGCTCCAGTTTTGCGAAGTAGACCAATCACTTTATGGTGCCTTTAAGAAAGAAACAGAAGAGTCATTTCTCTCTGATCCATTTCATAGAATAGTTCCCCCCTCTATAAAGGGCACATGTAAATCACGTGTGTGACATATACAGTTGCCTAAATCTGACATAACTTTTATAAAATTCTTATCAATACACACTTGTCAGTAAAACTTATCAGTTATTAGTAGCTGTGCAGTAGCTGGTTGTGTTAAATATACCAATGCAGACCAAATCATTTCACACCAGATCGTAAGGCTATCTTATGGACACCCATTCCTGTCTTTATTTCACTATTCCCGCTTCACGGCACATGAGTGCCATGTTCTGAAATTTACAATCTCATGGGAGAAATTCATAAATACACAGAACCTGTAAAACAACTACATGCACAACAAGGAACACTATCCCTCCCCTCCCCTTTGCCATTCCCAGCATTTTGAGGTGCTGATACCAGCCCATTTGTCATTGGCGTAATCACCTGCTACTCTCTGGAACCAGTATTCGTTCATGCATATGATGAACACTCACATAATTTCAAACACACATACTCACACACATCTTCGTTTGCTAGGCCCCTCACACTAACATTTTTTTTCTATTCCGTTCTCACAGTAATCAGCTTTATGAAATAGTCACTTGACCATTTTGTCAGATCAACTGATCATCTGCAAGAGTCTGAAACATCCTCCTTTGGCCACTGATGGCCTGGAAGGGTTGCTGGGAGCTGCAACCCCAATAGTAGCATCTTCAACCAAATCTAGTGCCCCGCCTGCATGCCATAAATGTCCCCAGAATCCTCTCAGAATTTTCATTAGGCCTGCCAAAGACATGGGGTGCATCTACTCTGTAGAATTAATGCAGTTTGACACTATTTTACCTGCCATGGGTATGTGCTACAGAACCCTAGAATGTGTTGTTTGCTGAGGCACCAGCACTCCTCGGCAAAGAAGGCTAAAGACCTTGTACAACTACAACTCCCATGGTGTCAAACTACATTAATTCTTCAGTGTAGATGCACCCTAGGATCCAAGCTCAACAGAGATACGAGGGTTACCCAGAAAGTACGTTTACAAGGTATGTAGCTCTCATGGGAAATTTTCTCAGAGAAAGTTGGTATCACTGCCGTGTAGCAGGAAGCCAGCGGAAGCGAACAAGCAGTGCCAGTTGTCATTCACTGGCATTGTGGTGAAGGTTAGAGATGAGTGTCCTCAGTCTATTTCTCTCCAAGTGTGAAGTTCACACTGCAATACTCTACCTAAATGCTAAGGGCATGAACGCTGCTGCAATTCATCGCGAAATCGTTTCCGTTTATGGAGAGGATGTAATGTCAAGACAGCATGTGACAAAATGGATATGGAATATATTGTGAGACTAGGAAGAAACTTCACAGTGCCATCCAAAACAAACATCATGGGATGCTGAGGGCGGGACTCTGTCTCCTTCATGACAATGCATGTCCGCACATCGCTCATGCAACATAAGAGTTGTTGACTTCATTTGGTTGGGTTGTTTTAAGCCACCCCCTCTCACAGCCCCGATCTTGCACCCAGTGACTATAATCTGTTCACTAAATTGAAGGAACACCTGGGTGGAAAACACTTTTCCGATGATGACAAGGTGAAAATCGAAGTGATGAACTGGCTGAAAAAGGCGGAGGGAAACTTCTGTGACACAGGCATGAAAAAAAACTCATCCCATAAAATATATAGTTGTGTCAGGAGTGACTTGAGAAACTGCAAGTCGCTTCTGGTGTGAGAGAATTGGCCGTCTGCAAGGATGTTGCCCAGAGGACGCCGGGATGATTTTGAACTGAATAGTGATTGTGTGGAAAAAATAATGTAATACCTATGCTATAATCCATTTAAAAATATATTTAAATATACTGTAACCTTACTTTCCAGATAACCCTCATATATAACATACGAAGACTGGCATATATGACAATTTTAAGCATAGGCTATTCTAGGCATATCACATGCTTCTTCTAAGTTTTCAGAAACTACAAAACAAATAAGCAATAGGGAACAATTTCCAGCTCAGTTTCCAAGTCCTTCAAATTGCTCCCTGTTGTTTGTTTCTACTGTAACTACACATACAGACATGCAACCAGTTTGGTAACTGTGACTAAGAATACTATCACAGATGAAGAATAGGACTTTTTGATGAGTTTTTTGTTTCGCTTCTGTCTATCAATGGAAAATATATACCCAGTCCCTCTTTCAAAGCCATTTCACTTCTCTGGGGTGAAAGAGACAGAGGGAGAAGGAGGGAGGAGAGAGAGAGAATTACTCAATCCTTTTTCCATCAACAGAGATGTATTATTAACTGCAGCTGCAATTACAGGCTTCACATGTTTGCTCCTTATCTTAAATATTTCATCACAAGTGTTCCTTGAGACACAGAGCATAGCATCAAGGACATTCTTCTCCCTTTCTGGAAACAGCAAGTGCTGTATTTACTTTTTATACTCGGAGCTCAACCTAACATCCATATCAATCAATGTTCACAGAAGAGAGTAAGCCATTTCAACATCGACTGGTGAGGTTTATGTTTGGGTGTGTGGAGAACGTGCCTAGATGGGAACGGCAACTGAAGATCTTGTTCATAAGTCCTCTTGCAATGCATGAAATTTGCTTCTGAGAAAATGTGTATGGCATTCCTGTGCTCTCAAGTCTCAAATGTCATAGATGACAACAGCCAAGTGAAGCCTTTCCTCTACCATTAGGTTAGTGTTTAAAGTTCACCCATTGCCAAAACCAGAAGGGCTGTATCTATAACAGGAGAAATACTCCAAAGTAGCCTATTTCAGAGCTGCCCTGGGTATAAAGGAAAGTCTCAAAGCCATTATGCTATCCAGACAGTCAGGCACTGCCACAGTTCTGACAGCTAGAAACAGGTCCCTGGCAGAGTTTGCTGGCCAAGGTTCCTTCCAATGAGGTCCCATCAGGACACCATATGAGTACTAGAAGGAATGTCACCAACAAGGTTCTTCCAGGGACCTGCTTCTAGTGGGCAAAATATAGGTGGATGTTTCTGATGTGCAAGCACTGGATCACACCAGACCCAGCATGATCTGACTGTCCACACATCAAAAGTAACTGGGTTCATCTGAAAGTTCTGTAGTAACCTTATTATTCAAGATTAACATCTGGAAGCTGCATTTCTGCTGTGGAACTGGCCATACATTGTGTGGACTATGGTGGAGCAATGGGCAACCTGCTGACCTGAAGGTTGGGTTGTTGGGTTACCAACCTTAAAGTTGCCAGTTCAAGTCTGCGAGACGGAGTGAGCTCCCATTTGTCAGCTCTAGCTTGCAGGGACATGAGAGAAGCCTCCTAGCAGGATGGTAACACATCCGGGTATCCCCTGGGCAATGTCTCTGTAGATAGCCAATTTTATCACACCAGAAGTGACTTGCAGTATGTTCTCAAGTCGCTTCTTACACAATAAAAAAACTTGCTCCCTTTATCACGTCTGGACCAAAGTTTGGAAATGTTAGTTGGATATTCTGGGAGTTACAGTAAAACAAATATTTTTCCCAAAATGTCCTGTGGGGCTCCTGATAACTTATTCCTTTCAAAAGTGTATGGGAACATAATAGCGAGATCCAAATCAGTGGTGAACATGCAATTCATTTGAGAGAGAAGTATTTAATGAGCAGGTGGACAGCAGAGTTAGGGAAGTATAATTAATATAACCTGCTACACAGGTACATCAGACCCATGAATGCACACATTGCAGGTACCATCTTGTTATTATAGCATAAATAAAGCCTTTTTGAAACAACAGAACATCAATTAGTCACAGCAAACCTCTCACATTGTTTTCAATGAGACCAAAGCAAAGCTAACCATTTCTGGATTAACTTATCAATAAAAGCCTTAACTAATGTTTAGATAGGCCTTGCCCCTTAACTTCTGCAAAGGAAGAGCTAAGGAATTGGTTTAGAATTACCCAGTCCATACAGGTATCATTGAGCCATGGCAGTTAAAACGGTGACAAATTGCTTCAATTCTACAGTGCAGATGTTAGGCTTGGGCGGTTTCGTTCGTTAATTTCGTAATTCGTTATTAATTCGTATTTAAATTAGCTTACGATCCAATATTGAGCCATGCAGGACTACTGTGAGGAGTAATTAAAAATCGAAACAATTTTTCCAATTTATTTCATATTGTTTCGTAATTGTTTCGTAATTGGTTCAAAATTGTTTCAAAATTGTTTCGTAATTGTTTCGTAATTATTTCCGTATGTCTGGTGCAAGTTTTATAGTTGTTGTTTGTTTTATCAGTGATAAAAATAAATTATCACACCAACAGTCAACAACAGAGGGAGAGGGAAGCTTCAGAAGTTCCCCCTGTCCCATTTGGAGGGTTTTTTAGCATATTGCGCAATCGCGTCCGCCATTAACGAATCGATTCGTAATTTTACGAAATTTCGTATATTTCAAACTTTTTTAAAGGAAAATTTCGGAATTCTTTAAAAAAACGAAACGCAAGGGCCCCCCTAAAAACGACACGAGTTTAGAACCAAATGTTTCCGTGGTTACCCAAGCCTAGCAGATGTACTCTGAATTATACCTATATTGAAGACCTTCGATTCATGTCCTGGAGGAGATTCCTAGAAGTTACTTAAGGAAGAGTGGACTCTAATAAACACATTTTAATGTATATGTATACAGGCTTTGGACACCATGTTCATTCAGATTCCAGTCCTTTGGGTAAGGGCTATCCTTGTCTAAAGTAGGGCTTAAATATCGGAGATAGCCAGAAATCAAACCAGGAACCATCTAAATGTAAAGTGCATATATGCCCTGTTGCTGTGCTACAACCATTCTCTGAGCATTTTAAATTCAGCCGCTCTATCCATACTAAGTAAGCAGGAATGCCTTTTCTGCTAAGAATAAGCCCCAAGGCCTCTTGATGCCGAAAGCTTTCGCCCTTTAATCCTATGTATGTTTTCAAACGGCTTTTCATGGACTCTCTTACTTTTGAGTTAAGAATGTGAATGA